GGTTAGGTGCACCCCCACGGTCTTTCTGTGCAGCCGCTTCCCATATGCCTTGCACGTCAATCATCCAACACAACCCTTCCCCCAGCCTCAAACAATACCAGCTATACCACAAACTGCCGCTCCAGACACACATCGCAGAAGACCTTTCTCATCCTGCCCAACCCAGTTCCCATCACCTCCTGTGCACGCTGCTACATAGACACCAGCCCACCGCATGTCACACAGTGTGATGTCACACACCCCTAATGTACATGCAAGGAAGAGGCTTTGTCAAGCAGTTACCAGTTACCATGTTGCCTGCTGCATGGTAAATACCTAAACCTCACAGGACATAACACAACCCTCTTAGCCTGAAAACACACACAGGTGCTCCAAGCAATTCATAACCCAACTCTGGACAGCCACAGGGTGTAACTCTGTGGCCCTCTGCCGGGGCCCATCTGGTGCAACCGAGGGAACTCGTTCCCCACTGGTTCATAATGGAACACACATGGTTTTGCTATGTCTGCATTTCTGTTTTCTGAATGAACCTCCTTAGAGAAAGGAAAGTCATGCTTACTGCACCATTATGGCTTAAAAACTAACCCAGTAGGTGGTACAGATGTACAATTATGTCAGTTACTTGTCTCCCAGCTGTTTGATCCAGCGATCAGCAGAAAATGTGTAGGGGTATTTTTTGGTGGTCACAAGCCTGAGGGAATGGTTAGTGGTAATGGGAGATATGTTAAAGGATGGTAAATGTAGTGTGACCTGTGGGACAGCATTGGATGACAAAGAATGAATTGTCCCATATACCTGCATGCACACACTTGAGTCCTTCATCTTTGCAGGAAATGGATTTCGTCCCCCATGACATTTGCTCCCTATCTCCATAATCCACTTGACTCTTGGTTCTTATTATGCAAGTGTTTCTGTGTGTGTGAATCTACCTGAAGGTATGAGGGAGAGGTAGCAATTGCTTTCTCTTTAATGACTGAGTGATATTGCAACTGGTCTAGTGAAGTGTGCAAATGCTGTGTAGCACAGTGAGACCAGACCTTCCCACACTATCTGACCACCTTCGGGAAACATGGAAATACAAGTTTCTTTTTGTACACAATGTTTTTGAAATCTAAGCATAGATTGTTTTCATAATAACACATTTTTTTCTTGAACTTTTTGAAGACCCCTGATATTTCTAACTTTGGAGAGAAATCAGGATTGTCCCTAATTATGGTGACATTACCCTCAGTTACTTGATAATGTCATTTGATTTTACTACTTAGTAGCTATGTTGCTACTTCATTTTTCTAAGCCTCAGTTTCCATATTTGTAGGAAAAATGAAAATACTAATACCTCCTTGGGTTGTCTGTTGCGAGAATTAATCTTTTTAAATGAGCTGTGCTAAACTCAGCGCATGGCAAATGTTAAGTGCTGTGGTAGTCGTGAGTTGCTCTATGGTTTCATTGTATGCCAATGCCTTCTAAATCATATTTCCTATTGAAAGACTATGTACTGTGCTCTGTAATTGAGAAAAAGAGGCATTGGGAAAATGGACATCGAATAGCACGCATGCCCGTTTCACATTAGCTTCATTTTAACTTCGTCTAATGTTTGGGTTTGCAATGATGGAATCAGTGAGGGAGATTCTTTGGAAACTAGAAAAATAATTTGGTATTGTTTTTTAAAATAGAGAAGCAAAAATGAACAATCTGTTTTAACCTTTATCTCGAGTTTTATTCTAAGCCCTTTCAAAGTAGAGCCCTCTTCCACTCTCCTAATACAGAAAGTCATTTTCTATTGGAATTTCCCTTTTATACTGTATTCTGCCAAAGCAGTTGATATATTGCAGTAGTGAGAGGATAGAAATGAATATGAATCTTAACAGTTTGTCAAGAGTAATAGAAAAATCATAATTTGAACCTCAGACTGGTCTTTCAAAAAATGATAACAATTTTATTTCTTCCACTAATTTTGTAAAGAGACAAAAATCACATTATCAAGAACCAGTTAATAACAAGTTTCTCCTTGTATGAAATCATAAGCACCATTGATAGAATTAGTACTACTGTATCTTGCTCCTTTTCTTATACTGATTTGTGACCCTTTTAAGTGGAACATTACAGTGATAGCTCTATCCTCTTCCATAAAGATTGAAAGTAATGACTTCTTTAATGAGAATTATTCATTTTATGCTCATTCATAATCATCTCCATCCATTACCGTGTACTTGTTTTATAAGGATTTTAGTTGAGTAACTGTTCAGTGTATTTCTTTCAGGAAAACTTTAAAATACTTGTATGGCTTCAAGTTTGTTTAGCAAATCCAGATGTCTGAGAGAACAGAGAATGAGTCCTTTTGGGTTGTCATATTCCCAGTATGTAAGAAACAGAACTTGAGTAATGTCCCATATGCAGACAGCCAGCAAGAATTTAGGATTGTGAGGATTGGACACCTTGCACTGAAGTCTGAGACAAGTTTGGATTTGTCAAGTAGTTCTTTTGTTAGCAAGTAGGCC